ACACACACACACACACACACACACACACACACACACACACACGAGATTCAGAGGCTGTGCTGCTGTGCTGAAGAGATTTTTTTAAAAAACTGAGACGAAATAAATGGAAACAGAGGACAGAGTAGGTAGGAACTGGGTTTTCTGCCATCAAAGAGGGATCTAGATTAAGGTGATTACAATATCATCTGATTGGGGTCACTGAGGGATAAGCCACTGAGGGAGAAGCCATTACTAGGAGTAGGCATTAATAGGAAGGGGAATCACAGGATCACCATGAGTAGGCGGCACTGGGTCCAGGTGTAGCTCACAGGATTAGAGGCGGTCAGACTTGCTAGTCAGTAAAGACTAGGTCAATGGATTGGGACTCTAAAAATATCATTGAAAGTAGGGGACATAAGAACAGGAATTGGGGTTACCACATCCATAGATTTTGGGGATTTCCGAAGTACATTAAGCAAAAGATCCCAAATGCAGTGGGAAAGAAGGAATCAGAAGGCCTTTAGATATGGGGCCAGAAGGGTGATGGATTCTAAGACAAAATAAAACATCATGAATAAGATGTAAGTTTCTTAAAGGAAGATGAAAACTTGCACTGCAGTTTTTTTTTATTTTAACCAAAAACACCTTTATTTTCATCTTCAATAACTGTTCTTTTTTTTCCCATGATTAATTTACAAAGATGGCCTATACATTGCCTCTTGAAAGCATTCCCCTTTAATGAGAAATTTAGCTTCATATAATCCAGACATGGAAAGGTGTGTTATTGTTTTTTTTTTCTAGAGAGAGGAAGGGAGAGGGATAGAGGAATAGAAACATGGATGAGAGGGAACCATCATTAACCAGCTGCCTCCTGCATGTCCCCTACTGGGGATTCAGCGCACAACCCTGGCATGTGCCCTGACCAGTAATCGACAGGCAACCTCTTGGCTCATGGGTCGATGCTTAATCACTGAGCCATCCCGGCTGGGCTTGAAAGGTTTAAAAATATATATTTTGTTGTCATTATAAGACAAAACAGAAACTAGCATAAATTAAGGGAATCCATTCAGATTCTTTTTCTCCAGGAACCAGCATTATCATACTATTTCCATTCAGCAAAATCTGGTCTAATTTAGTAATCCTTCTTCTTTCTGGTGTGACTTCATTAGAGGCAGCAGCTGCAATGGGTTAGTGGTAGCCTGACTAAAATTGGTCTGCCTGCACTGAGAAGTTTTGAAGTAGATCTCTCTCTCTCTGTCTATCTCCCAGAGGATAAAAATATGAGAAAGTCCAGGGAATGGGTGTGTTATGGATTAAATGTTTGTGTCCCCACAATAATCAGGGTGAGATGAGTTCAGGAGGGCAGGGCTCTCATGATGGGATCAAGTACCTAAGGGAAGACCATGAGAGCACACAGCAAGACGGTAGCCACCTGCAAGCCAGGAAGAAAGCCCTCACCAGGAAATGAATCAGCCAGTATCTTGATCTTAGATGCTCCAAAATTATGAGAAATAAGTTTCTATTGTCTAAGACACCCAGAATATGGTATTATGTTATGGCAGCCTGAGCTGACTACAATACAGTGTGTTTAAAGATGACCCCCTTAAGTTTGGTATGCTCTTCCATTGGACTATGTGGAAAGACATATGAAACATACCATTTTTCCCATTCCCTCAAAATTGTAATTCTCCTTAATCATTCTAGCCCTTCACTAAGATCTCAGAAACCCATTCAGCCATTTAGAGTAGTGCTGTGCTATGTAAGTGGACAAGGAGTGAAGGAAAGCTTGTATACTGTCACTGACACTGTCATGATAATTACTAATTTGCTCTCTTTGCAGTAGTAATAGTGCCTGTGAAACCTTGGGCATGTAATTTAATCTCTCTCTACTCAAGTGCCCTGTCTCTCAAATAGTACATTTCTCATGCTATTGTTGGGGAAAATAAATGAATTGCTATATAGAAGCATTTAGTACCACATACTGAGTAAGTATACTCTAAGTTATTATGTTATACTTCCTCTCCCAACTTCCTTATTCCTTTGCTTTTGAGTAACATTTTATTACAACCACATTGATAAACTGAGATAGTCTCATCTGGGCTTCACTGGACAGGAGTATTCAACAAGGACATTTGGCAAATCACAGTTAAGAACAAAATAAATGTGATTTTTAACTTATAGCTCAAAATGCATCTTATGATATTGAGGCCCTTGGTACTTCATCAGTAGTTACAGCTATTTCAAATACTAAATAATCAATCAAAGATGTAGAGATGTCACTATCACAGTTCTTTAGCAGTATGGAAGAATATGTCTTAGGTTCCTCAGAAGCAGGTCTAAGACTTAGATTCACAAGGGATTTATTAGGAAAGTTATTCCAGTAAACATTAAAAAGAGGAAGCAGCCAGAGAAGCATCAATCAGACCATCAAATCTCAGAGGGAAGTTAGGGGAGGGTGGAGGTAAGGGGGAGACATCAACCAAAGGACTTGTATGCTTGCATATAAGCCACCCAATGGATACAAACAACAGGGGGATGAGGACATGAGTGGGGGAGTGGGGGGAGGGGCCAATGGAGCAATAAGGACACATATGTAATATCTTAATCAATTTAAAAGATAAAAAAATAAAAAGAGGAAGCAAGAAGGCAAAAGTAATTTAAAGTGAGGGCATAAGTTAGTAGATAAAAGTCAAGTTTTGTAAGTTAGGGCAAGCCAGCTTGCAGTTGTGGTGAAGAACACAAATTTGAAAGTTAGACTACTTGGTTTTGCATAGAGCTTCCACCATTTACCTGCTGTATGACCACAGATGGGTTACTTAATCTCTCTCTCCTTCATTTTTTTCTCTATAAGATGATGTCACCACATAAAAGTATAGCGATTGAGATAATCATATATATATATGCCTGGCATAAAGTATGTGTTCTAATATGTTAGAGAGTGCTAGGAGTAGCAGCAACAGCAGCAAAGAAAGTCTTATTAATAAAAGAAATTCTAATAATTATTAACATCACCATTGCTACTATATTGAAAGGTAGTTATGCCTGTACCAAATTCTCAACTGAAGCTCTTGAAGAAGAGGGTCTAAGTCTTGTTCATCTCTATATAC